AAAAAAAAAAAAAAAAATGAACAAACAAAACAAAAACAAACATACATACAGAGAACAGACTGACTGTTACCAGAGGGGAAGGAGATTGAGGGGTAGGTAAAATGGGTGAAGAGGGTCACCCATTGTAGGGTGATGGATGGAAACTAGACTTCTGGTTGTGAGCACACTGTAGTGTAAACAGATGTCGAATTATAATGTTGTACACCTGAAACTTATATAATGCTATATACCAATTTTACATCAATTAAAAAAAAATTGCATTTGATAGCCAATTTTAGATGTTTCAGAACCTTTACCAGAAACACTGGGTTGGTCAGCCTATAAAGCAGTTATGATCCCAAACAGCATGCACCTATGGTCTTCATCTGTGGATAACTAAATCTTCTATACTTAAACTAAATCTTCTATACTTAAAGATATTGTACAATAAAATTTTGTTTAAATATCATGACTGGGCTTAGATCATACCATGCGTGGAAAACACAATGGCAAGACTCTCTTAGCTCCACCACCTATAGGGAAAATGGCACCCTCATAGCATCACTGATGGACGTGCACATTGATGCTACCTTTCCCAGGGACAATTATCTAAGATGTATGAAAGCTCTGCTTAAGTGCGTAATCTAACCCAGAGATTCTATTTTTAGGAATTGCTGCTAAGAAAACAATTGGGCCAACATATGAAGATTGAAGTCCTTCATCACCTGCATATCCAAGTCTAAAAAAATCAAAATGTCTAACAAAAGAGATTGGTCAAATACGACTATAGAATTCAAAATAATACTATAAAGGAACTAAAATTCATGATGTAATTAGAACTAATAAATAAATTGACAAGATTGCAGGATATAATGTCAACATACAAAAATCAATTGTATTTCTATATACCAGCAAAAAACAATTCAAGAGTGAAAAATTTTTCAATGCCATTTATAATAGCATCAAAAACAATAAAATCCTTAAGAACAGTTTTTTGAAAAAAAGACATGAAAGACCTGTACAAATCACTATGAAGATAAATAAGAATTAAATAAATGCACACATACACATGTTCACAGATTTTAATACAAATTATTGTTAAGAAGTCAATTCTCCCTACATTGACCTATAGATTCAATGTAACAGGATTTTATACAAATCGACAAAATGATTCTAAAGTTTTTATGGATATGTAAAAAACCTAGAATAGCTAAAACAATTCCAACAAAAAGTTGTTGGCTAATGCTACCTGATTTCTAGATTTACTATAAATCTACACAACAAGGCAGTATGATCTTGGCATTAGCATAGACATACAGATGAATGGAACACTCACATACTGGAAATTGATTTTCTGCTAAGGCATCGGAGCAATTCAAGAGGGAAAGAAAAATGTTTTCAATAAATGATACTGGAACAATTTATAGAAAAAAATGAATTTTAATCCCTACCTCATACCACACACAAAAATTAATTCCAGATGGATTTTAATCCTAATGAAAAAGCTAAAACACTAAAACTTCTAGAGGAAAAAAATTTTTTGGAAAATACCTTTGCAACCTTAGGGTAGGCAAAGATTTCTCAGACAGGACTCACAAAGTACTAACCATTAAAGAAAAAATTGATAAACTGTATTTCAACAAAATTAAAAACTTCTGCTCTTCAAAAGACACAGTTAAGAAAATGAAAAGGTAAACCAGAGAATGGGAAAAAATATTCACAATACCTGTATCTGACAAAGGACTTCTACCCAGAATATATTAAAAAAAAAAAAAAAAAAAAAAAAACTCCTACAAACCAAGAACTAAAGGACAAACAACCCAATTAAAAGATCGGGCAAAAGGCTTGGCTAGACACTTCACCAAGGAAGATACATGGATGGCCGATATACACATGAAAAGATACTGAACACCGTTCGTCTCGGAGAAATGAAAATCAAAACCACAGTGAGAGACCATTTCATTATCCCCCTCAAATAATTAAAACTGGGAAGGCTGTCAGTACCAATTGTTGGCAAGGCTGTGGAATAACTGGAACTCTCATCAACTTCCGTAGAATAAAATGGTACAACACTTTGGAAAATTGTTTGGCTGTTTTTTACAAAGTTCAGGAAACATCCACCCTATAATCAAGCTGGTCATCTTATAGGCATTTACACAAGAGAGATGAAAACACAGGCCACCAGAACCCTTGCACCTGAGTGTTCAGAGCAGTTTCATTCATAATAGCTAACACTGGGAAACAACCCAAAAGTCCATCCATAGGAGAATGGATAAACCATTTGTGGTATATCCGTGCAATGGAATACGACTTCCGGCATGGGTGATGATAGAAACAGGGACGGGGTCGCTCACAGGGGGTGGGAATTAAATGTGGAAGAACCCACTAGGGAACTCTCTTGAGTGGGGGGAAGGTGATCTGTCTGGATTACGGTGTGTATATGTTTGCCAAAACTCATCTAGTTTTACATCTGAAGTCTCTGTGTTTCACTACATGTACATTTTATTTTAGTTTAGAAATTTTTATAAAAGGATAAGTTAGCTCATATTGTTCTTGACATAATGAGTAAATAAAGCAGGTTAGAGCAGAAAGTATAGCTTGGCTGTATTTTTGTCTTTGAAAAATCATTATATATATATAATATTACATATGGATTATAATAATGTAAAATGTATAATATAAACATACAATTACATAGTAATATATATCATAATTATATTATTATACCTATACATTAGATATGATTTTAAAAGATAAAAATACATTATATATAATATAGATACTACATATAATATAGATATAACATATAGTATATTTATATATCATTTAAATATACAAAAATCATTACATATATATGTAAAATTGTTGAGAAAGATCACATCAAAACACTAACAGCAGTTCCTTTTTGGTGCTGAGATTTCAAGTGACTTAAATTTTTGTTTCTTTATCTGATCTCCACTTTCTCATTTTTTTTACAATGGTCATTTATCAGGTGTTTAACCAATAAAGTAACATAAAACGAACCCATGAGATTGGCATCCTCAAGAAGAGAAAACGTCACACAGAGGGGGATAAACATCTGGGAGGGATGTCCCACGAGCCGCATCAGAAGGCCAGGGCTCCCCTTCCTCCTGCTCTCTAGTAGGCAATTCCTCACAAGGAGGAGACCACTCATGCGTCCCCGAGAACACCGAGAAACCGAGTTTGTTCTCCAAACCTTGTCTTGCTCCAACCCGTGCTCCCCCTTCCCTGGTTCTACCTAAAACAGCACATTTCTTTGACCTGACAGCCTCTTCTTCCAAACGCTATGAACCTAACAAGTCGCTGACACCAGCCAACAAGATGCCCTTCAGTCAAATCTCACGATCAGATTCCATCTCTCACCTGATCGCTGAAGAAAGGTGTCCCAGTTAAAGGCGGCATTTGGTACTGTTGCAATTCCTGGGTCAGAGGAAGAGAAAAAGAGAAAGTTCTCAGTGCTGAGATGTAACCAGTTATTTTGTGTTGACGTTTAAATAATGGTCATATTTGGTTATTAAAAAGAACTCAGATCTCTGAGTGCTTCCCTGAAGTCCCGTTAATCCTCCAGCACATGAGGTTTAAAGTGAGCCCCCGGATTCCCAGCGAGAAAAGACCCACCACTTTCAGCCCCACCATCATGACGGGGCCAGACAGCCTCTAGGACACAGAAAGCTTCAGTTCCTACAAAATGCCTGTGAGTAACAGGTTTCTAAAACATTCCCAGCTAAACTTCAATGGCCCCTCAGAGAAATTACGTCTACTTAAAATTCCTAATCTCCACGGTCTCCAAATCATGTATGATTGCCTGCTATCTGTGTCATTTTTTCAGACAGATTTAAGTCTAAAATTCTCTGCAAATTTGAACATTGTAAGATATAGAAAATTCAGCGGCAACATTTAACAGATTATCTTGATAGAAAAAATTCGAAATGTTATGAAATGTCCATTAAGTCATCTAAGCACCTCTCCAATGCACCTGTCAAACTGTCATGCACACTGAACAATACAAACAACAGCTAATTAATGAGTGCCCACTCCACGCCTGCCCTGGACCAACTCTGGGCGGGTGCCGTCTCCATAACCCTGGGAATCCTTAAAGCCCTAATGAGCAGGCTGACTCCTCCGGTTTATCCGGCTGGAATCTGAGGTTCCCAGCAGTTAGCCAGTGTTCAAAGTGAGGCAGTGTAGGCAGAAGAGGCTGCGTTTAAACCCACGCGCTGCTTCAAAGCCTGCGTTCTGCCTGCCGCACCAGCGTGTCCCTTGACTATAGACCAGGCCACAGCAGAGGAAAGGGAGGTGCCAACCCCGCACCTGCCCTGACACCAACACACACCCTTCAGACAGACCCAGGCAGGGCATCCTGTTTAAAATGGGGGCTCCAAGAACGAGTTTGTTTGATAAGAGATTCTGCTGCTAAAAGTATCCCTGAAACCACTAGAGCATTTATACCATGATAACGCGATGTGCAGCTAAGGCGGGCCTGAGGGGCCGTGTGCCCTTGGTGTCCAATGCCCTGAAAATTCCTCATGAGGCTTGAACTCGGGACCTGGGCCTCAGCATCTGTTCTAACCTAAGCTTGGAATCCATCAGACGATCTTCCCTGGAACCACTCCGTCCCTGATTTCTATTGTTTAAACAATGGTACAGTGGTTTTCATGCTGTGTTTGGGAGATCCTGAGGGTTTCAGGAAAGGACGTCAGAAGCCACCATTGGGCAGGACTGGGTGAGGGCAGGGACGGGTGCAGGGATGGAGAAGGTTCCAGATCCCCCCAACTCAACTCAGCTTAAACGGAGACGCTCAGCTTTTTCCTTTTTTAATCATACCACTGAGAGAGCACATAGTATTGCTCCTGGTTGACAAGTTAAGTAATCTGCATTTTAAATTATTCTTTTATAATTTTCTCCTATTCATCTCTTATCTTAATATTAAAAATTAATAAAAGTGTATCCATTCTACTAACCGTTTTAAAGTAAATCTCAGACATCATATTATTTCATCCATAAACATTTCTGTACGTGTCGCTAAAAGATAAGGACTCATTTTAAAATATATATATATATTTAAAAATTCTTACCTTGACTCTGGACATAGATCTTACCCTTAGCATGCGGCTTTTGAAAAGAGGGAAGAAAGAAAAAAAGTAAATTTGATAGTCCCTTACAATTTCGTTTTAGAAATAAAATGAAGGCCATAAAAAAATCCTCTTGGAAAACATCACAAAGAGTCATCTACACAGCCGCTCATAGACTAGTTATTTTATGAGAGCAAAGAGTTACTTCTGCTTTTAATGGGGGTTAGCCCATTAAAAATACAGCGTTTATAAGGCAAGAAGCACAAAGAAAGAAGTCCCTTATATTAGGCGTAATGCAATACTACAATTTTATAGTTACTACGTTAGTAGAAAAGTTATTGAAGCTCAAAACATGCCAGTGACAGCCCGTCTGGTGCATATCGTGTGCTGAAGCTGAAGGTGGAGTTTTGGGAAATGTGGTCTGGGGATGCACATCCTTGAATGGAAAGAGTACACCCCACTCCAGCTCAGGAGAAGAAAAAAGGACTGGGAGGAGGAGGATGAATAGGAAGGGGAGGACGAGGAGATGGAGATGGAGGAGGAAGTGGAGGTGAAGATGGATGGAGGAGATGGAGGAGGAGGTGGAGGTGAAGATGGATGGAGGAGGAGGAGGAGGAGGAGGTGGGGGTGAAGATGGATGGTGGAGA